ATTACATATGTTGTCAAACCACCCCTCTGTTCAACAAATGATCCAAAATGTGAAAAATCAGAGATTGCAAATACATTGTCAACAATTTTTCTCTTAAGATCAAATAGGTTTGACTGTTACTTCATATTACTGAGTATCTTTCAACCAAATGGTTCTTGAACAAATCATTCAGAGTCTGCTTTTGTTCAAAGTCATGATGTGGAGATACACACAACAGATCAGTGAATGGATAAATTTTTGAGTTCTCTTTTGCCAATTAGTTGTTCACCAATGCCCATTCCTGATAAAAACTCTCAGCAAACTAGGAATAGAGGAACCATCTCCTAGTTGATAAAGAACACATAGAATAAACCTACAGCGAACATCATACTTAATGGTAGCTCTAGGAGGGACACTGCATATGGTCCTAGGTGTCCGCCCTGCCTGGCAGGCCCATGCCCTACTGGAGGGTGAGGCCAGGGGCAGGGTGAGTGTGGGGTCTGGGGAAGGAGGAAGGAGGGGTGGCCAGCCCAGCTTGGTGACTACACTTGCTGCCAGACCATCCCTCACCTGACACCCTCCAGGTAGATCCACTGCCTCTGTGCTCACCAATAATGCTGCTGCTGCTGCTGCTGCTACTGCTGCAGCTTCCAGGTCCCAGCCTGGATCAGTGCAGGTGAGTGAGAGCCCTGCCCTCTGGCAATGCAGTAATCCTGCAGGATTCCTCCAGCTCTTTCTAGGGGTGCCTAGTCCTTCATTCCTTCCCAGGGACCCAGGAGCTCTGTTCCACATCCCTCCCTAGGGTGCCCCAGTCACTCACTCTTCCCAGGTCCCAGGAATCTTCCAAGCATTAACCAGGGATCCAGTGTCTTCCCCAGACATCCCCTCCCACACACTCTATAACCCTCTCCTGCCATCCAGAGCCCATCTTACTCCCCCTGGCCTCGGATCCTGTGAACTGACCCTCTGGATTGCCCAGATGAGTGCTCAGATTGGGACTGGAGGTAATAAAATCTGAATATGAACATCAATGGTGCCCCTGTTTTGTGCATTCATTCTATGGATGAACCTATCCTAAATGTGGTCCCTCTGTAACTGTCCCCAAGCCCCATTAGAAAGAGCCTGGGTCCTGATTCTCCCTGCTGGTGCCAGCTTCCTGGGTGTCCCTGTGCACCCAGTAGATATCCAGGACACAGAGGTCCAGGGGGAAGGCTCCGAACAGCCCCTTGCACCAGCCTTTCCTAGGTCCCACCCTAAGTCCCACATGGGTGAGTGAGGGACCTGCTCTCTGGGAACCCAGGAGTCCTGTAGGACTCTTCCAGACTGCTCCAGAGGTACCCAGTCCCCCATTCACACATGGGGCTTTTGCCCCTCAGGTTTTGCCCATTTACACCCACCCTCTCATGTCTTCCAAGGGCCCAGGTATCCCCCAGCCCTTCCCAGGGGTCCACCATCCCCCCACCCCAACATCCTTCCCTTCACACGCTATAACACCCTCCTGACATTCAGAGCCCTCCTGCCCCCCTGGCCTGGGGTCCTGTGAACTGATCCTTTACTCCATCCATCCTTGGGGCCTGAGATAGGACCACTAGGGGGAAAACCAGAGGCTGGGAGAAGGGGCAGAAGGGGCCGAGCCTGGGGGTGGGGGGAAGCACATACTGTCTCCTTCTCACCCACCACTAGGGTCACCCTTGGAGAGATCCCCTCTGCAGCTGCCCTTTTCTGGGGTGCACAGACACACACACTCACAGGGAAATAAGACACCACAAGCACAGAGACACACAGGCATGGAATCACCTCCATCCTCACCTGGGGACTCGGGCATAGGGCTCAGGGACAGGCTCACACACAGACCCACACTGCAGACACAGGCAATGACCCCTGAGGAGAACATATGCACACACAGACACACATACTTAGGGCCACATGAGACAGCCCCACATGGCAGACCCTACACACACTGGACACACATACAGAGAACACAGAGATACACACTTAGATAAAATCAAGAACACACAAAGGGGTAGTAGATTCACTCACACAACCAACACACACAGAGATATATAACACAGACACACATAGATGCTCCAGCAGGGACGCACACTTCCAGAGACACAGACTTGCATGACCAACATACAGTCATTCAGAGATACAGACACACACAATACATACAAAGACACACAGAAACACAGTGCCATACAGTGGAAAACTCACATCCACAATCAATACATTCACAGACACAGAAGCACACTCAAGGGCCATAATGCAGATTTACACACTCAAACAGACTTGTGCATGCATGCGCATGCACACACACACACACACACACACACACGCACACACTCCCAGACCTTCATCCCTTACCCAGGCTTACAAAACAAGCAGCCCTGACACTCAGTGGAGGCCACTGCAGGCAGACAGGATGAATAGACCGGGGTACGACCTGCCCCACCTAAGCTGCCATGGAAGGGGGTGTTTTCCCGGTTCCAAACTGAGTGGTGGGCATCTTCCCCCAGCCACGGCCTTCTGGACAGCTGTGCTGGGTCCTGAGGTATCAGAGAGTGGCCAGGGTAGGGTGGTTCTGTGGACAGGGGCCCCGGGCAGGGACAGGGACCCTAACAGTGTGCACTTTGAGTGGAGGTGTTGCATGGGGCTTAGCAGATCCCGAGGTCAAGAGAGGGAGAGAGGCATGTGTCCCCAGGACCCTGCAGTGTTAGGACCCTGCATGTATCAGACTCGGCTGCATCCTCTCTCACAGTAACAATAATAAGAATAATGCCATCATCAGGACTATTATGTGACAATATTATCATTAACACAGCAATGACTGAGTCAGTCCCTGGTGGAGAAGAAAGGGCTGTGACCATAGCCAGCTGGTTTGAGCTCATCTTCTGAGCAGGGCCAACCCCAAGCAAAGCTGGGTCCTAGGTAGAGCTTCTCTCTGGTCCCTTCTCCCTCTGGAGTCTCCAGGCCTCAGTTTCCCCCTCTCCCCAAATCCCTTCCCGGACCAAAGTGTCCTCTGACCCTTTTCTCACCCTGGGTAAAGCCCTCTCTCTGATCACTCTGAACCTGACTCTCCATCTATGCAAGGGGGATAGAGATGGTACCAACCTCAGGACGCCACAAGATGATGCCTGCACAGGGGTTAGCACCGTCCCATAGGAAGAGAGGCCCTTGCTTGTATCATTATTGCCTTTAATGGCTGCTCACTTTTAAAGGTGCCAGTTCTGGGAGGACAAATGCCCTTGGGAGATGATGATGCTAATCTTCACACGAACTCAGCATGAGGCTGCTTCTTGTCCTTATGACAGGCTTGGGATGCAGGCCTGGACACTCCCAATTTAATGAAGAAAACCCATTCAGTGTCACACAGCCAGTAAGCAGCACAGCTGAATCTTAAACCCAAGGCTGCTGGCCTGGCCTCAAGGCGCCATGCAGGGCTCTCCTGCATGGGAGGCTCACACTGGGTGGCTTTGGGGAGCAAGCGCTTCCTCGGCTGCAGGAAAGATCTCACCTGTTCCAGGCCCCCAACCTCTGTTCTCTTCTCCTTCTTTCCCTCCTCCCTGCTGGAGCTCTGATCAAGGTGACCCTGGCACCCTTCATGAAGTCCCCAGTCACTTACAGGAGCCTCTCTCCCATTCACTTCTGGGCTAGTCTGACTTCCACCCCTTCTGTAATAGTCTCTCCTAGACAGGACAGTCCACCTCTGAGGTTCTTGAGGCAGGCAACAGCATCTAAACAGAATTTCATATGCACTTGTTTTGTTGTCCTTTTTTTTTTACTTGTTCTTGACGGTTTCTTTACATTTATGGTAAAAGACTTTGGTTTTCCATTATAACTGATATAATATCAATTATATAACTGACAACATAGTTATATAACTGACAATATATCAATTATGTAACTGATATAACTGATGTAACTGAAATTAGTGATATAACAGAATGTTTCCTGTTTGCTATAAATATACATAATAATAAAAAGCAATAGGATTTAAAGCAACGATTTCAAGCTGCCACGGGTCTGAACAAGTTGAGGAAATGCTGTGTGCACCTTAGGCAGCTCACGACAGGGCGCAGGAGAGATGATCACCAATGGGGTTTATCCTAGTCACCTGGGTCCATGGGCCACTCCTACCTGCTTGGCTTTCTCTATCCTTCACTCCTCATGCTTATCTTTTTACAGATTAATTATCATGTTGCTATCTATTGATTTAGGTTCAAATCTATGAAATATGAATGTGAAT